CAATGATGGTGTTATTTATTGCCCAGGTTATATATTTAGTCTTAAATGAGTTCACTCGCTTGCTGTTACAGGTATGAGGGCGGTTGTCACTTCCTTCGCTGCTCACACCGTGGAAGGTTGTTTCTTGAGAGACCTGAAAAGGAAGATAGATTAGTGTTGGTCTTAGAGACCTGGGTGCGTGACCGCAGAGCCCAAGGGACAACTGCTTGAGGCCGGTCACGCACGGCCTTTTTACGAGAGGTTTTTTGAGTATTAGCTCCGCTCTTAAAAGCCTTTAGTGGGCACCCTTACCGCCGGAGACGGAAATCCGTGAGGTAGGATGAGGTGTGACATTTTTAGGGTCAACCTTTTCTAACCCTTCCTTCCTTGTGAGAAGGCAGCATAGCTATAGATGTTGGTTATCCGAGGCAAACACCTTACTGCTGTCACACCCCTCTACAGTCAGCAGTACGACTTCGCCCTCAGACCTTGGGTAGCTGCTTTTAGTCTCATCGTTCTCCAATCGACCTGCCTGGCATGGTAGGACCTACAGGAACATATGTTCCAGTCAATATATAGCTCGATTCGGTCATCACGATAGGCAAGCCCGACCACCACATCAAGGTAGCAGCTTCGGTCGGGAATGAGTTCACGTCGATTAAAGGAATTGTAATCTTTGGAAAATAGCTATATTTTTATTTGCGAAAGCCATTTGAAGTGCGGAGTTCACACTTTAAACACTTCCCATAAAAAGGCTGTGTGCCTCAAGCAATTTTCCCTTGGGCTGTGCAGTCATGCTCCCAGATCTCTCTATCTAATAGGCCGACACTGATCTAACTTCCTTTCTAGGTTTCCTTAAGAGCGACACCCTTGCACAATGTGGGCAACTGGGAAGTGACATAAGCCTTCATAACCCGTATAAGGATACATGAGACTGATTGAATTCTAATGGATTTTGTTTATCGTTACTGAGGTTTTCTTATTCTCTTTGAAGGAATTTGTAATCTATTTAATTTGTCAAATGCTTATTTATCAGCTTGCATCCAATTATCGAACTCTAAGTTTTCTTGATACATGATGTAATTAATTAGTACTTCATAAAAAACCGATATACTTACTTACTCACGCCTGTTACCCCCAATGGAGCATAAGCTGCCGACCAGGTTCCATGTATCTAAAAGAATGATTGTTCTGGTTGTCAGAAGAGGCATCGGCCTCGTGACATCCGAGGGAACTCGGCTTTCATTGCGAGACGTCATAATTCTTCTTCCAACTCCCAGGGCAGAGTTAAAATGGCTTGATTTATTTTTTATGGTTAGTTTTTTGGTAGGATGGAGTCGCCAACCCCATGCCCCCAACCCTCCTCCTCTATCCGGGCATGGGACCAGCAGCAGCACCGAAGGTTCTACAGGCGGAGTTAAAAAAATCCGATATACTTATATGAAATTAAATCTAGCTCCAAAAATGAATACTATTAACTATTTCACATAAACGCATACTTTGTCCGAAATTCCATTATTTTACCATTTACGCTAGCACTCTTTCTTTGTTCAAAGCTTCCTTAAAAGTCACAATGCTCTTATGGTTTAAAAAAATTCTGTAGTCTTAAACTTTCATTGAAACTACAGAATCTTAAGTTTTTTTTAAATACTGATGGGGCTTGATTGTCTATATTTTGTGGGCTGTTTTTTCCCTCTTGGTAGTTATTGTTTTTATCAAGAGTTATTGAATAAGATCGCTTTGATTGTAAGTAAGAACATCTGTGGTGCTACTAGAAATGTCGCGGGGGAAAATTCTTCGACAGAGTGTTTTTGAACCGAATAAAAGATTCAATAGACAGTCACTTCCCAAATCAGTATACTGGATTCCATCAAAATCATTCATGTACCGACTCAATCACGCGTGACACTGCGGATCATTGTGAAACAATCAATTGAATGAAACTCACCACCGTGAATCAACTTCTTTGATTACAAAAAACATTCGACAGTGTGAACAGAATGACACTATGGATGCATCTTCCACACCATAGTGTCCCTGAGAAGATAATAAACAACATAAGAAATTCTTATGATGAACTAAACTGCAAGATCTTCACGGAGGACAGCTCACAAATTCATTTCAAATGTAGACCTCTGTCAGACAAGATTGTTTACTCCCACCCTTTCTCTTCCCCCTGGTGGTCAACTGGATTATGAAGACGTCGACATGTCAGGTGGACCACGGGATAAAGTAGACAGTTCGGATGCAGCTGGACGATCTCGACTTCACAGATGACCTAGCTCTTTTATCACATCCTCAGCAGAAAAAGTAGCTGTAGACTTCAAGGAAGTTGATGTATAGTGGTGAGTTTTATTCAATTGATTGTTTCACAATGATCCGCAGTGTTGCGCGTGATTGAGTCGGAACATGAATGATCTTTATGGAATACAGCCTGTTGATCTCGGAGTTGATCGTCTACTGAATCGTTCATTCGGTTCGAAAATACTCTGTTGAAGAATTTTCTTGGTATTGAGAGTAGAGTGATTCCTCTTGGGTTCTCACAGCTAGATTCGTTGAATTTGTCAGTATCCCGACGAAAGGCCGTATTAAACATTTATTGTGCTGTCTGATCAGTTTTCCAGTGCTTCTTTCATTTCAGTATCGTTTTGGCCACTGCCAAGTGATCTTAAGCCATGTCAGCACTTCTCTTTACTCTAACGTCCTCCAAGAACCTGAACGAACGTGATTGGTTTGGTTCTCCGTACTATGATCCGGTGAAACCCATTTAGCTTTGTGTGGAAATATGGTACCACTTATAACCATTTTCCTGAAACCGCGTAGGTTTACGATTTTCTCACCCTTTTTGTCCCTTTCTCCCAGTCAATGTCGTCTCATGATGTCTTTATATCCAATGTTATCCATTCCAATCCTGGCGTTTGGGTCTCCCATCAGCATGGTCAAATATTTGCTGGGCATTTCTCGACGACTGACTACAGCCTCTCGTATAATTCATCTTTATCTTCTCCGTCGTTATCGTTGGTGCTCGTATAGCTCCGAATGACACTCACTGTGATTCCCTCTTCCTTTGTGTTGACGAATGCTTTGATGATCCTGGGTCTATAAGATTCTAATCCTCCTGAAGCTAGTCTTTGTTGTCCAACCTGGATCCATTGTGTTTCACTTATTCCAAGCTCCGTCAGGTTTTGTCTTTTCATTTATGCAGAAACTTGAATAATCCTCTCTGTCTCTGTCTCTACCTATAATAATGGTTGCCCTAGTTGTGAGAAGGGGTATCGGTCTCATGATTTCTGAAGAAACTCGGCTTTCATCGCAAGGCATCATAACTTTCCGGACTGAAGACCTTCCTACACCCATGGCAGAGTTTAAATGGTTTGAATTATATTTTTTGGTTAGCGTTTTCTAGCAAATTAGTTTTCTACGGGGTGGGGTTGCTAAGCCCATGCCCATGCCCTCCTCCTTTATGTTTGCTTCGGACCGGTAGTGAACCCTGGAGGACTCCAGACGGAGTTTAAAATTCCACAAATTAATATTTTATTTCAAACGATCCGAACGTTTTATTTCCGGAATTCAGGTTACGCATATACTTACAATTTAATGATTACTATGGTAAAACCCACTGGTTTTTTTAAAACTGTCAGATATTTCTATGTTTCATAGATTTTTTTAAAGTTATTGACTGCTTGTAACTTGAATAAAGACAGTGGTAGTACGCTTAAAAGTTAATTACACAAATCTGTTAATGTAATCCTAAATATAACTGTTAGACTACCACTATTAGAAACCTTGAAGCACTTAAAAGCCAGGAGTCGAACCCACAACCTTCAGTCTCACGTGCGAATGCTTAATCTCTAGACCACTGAGCCAGTATCCAACGGTGCTCATGTTTAACTTTGAACAATCTAAGGTATTATGCGAACTTATCCGATTGTCTTCGGCTGAGGCAACTGCTTACACTCGCCAGCGTTTAACTTCACTGGTCACGGTTTCGCACTGGAACTCCGAGAATTTCCTCATGAAGCTAGTCCCTAGTAAGTATATTGTAGATGCGCACTGCCACTGATGAGTCCCATACTAAGACGAAATAGCCGTCCAGCGCTTCCAGGTTTCTTAAGGTGGTCTAACAATTATTGGTTTATTGTTCTTTAAATATCTTATAAATTACATTGAAGAGCAACTCTTCAGAGGCCCCCTTTCGAGTTTAATAGAATGTTTATTCACAATGTGCAATATCCCATAGGCACTAATGAGTTGTATATATTCGCATTGTCCTTTTCCTTCTAATTGTGTACAATATATCTTGAAGTTATTTACACAATCAAATAAAGCTTCATTCACCATACAGCCTATAGATGGATTTGATTGTGACTAATTTGGTCTTGTGTGCTGTTACGAGTATGAGGGCGGCTGTCACTTCCCGGCTGCCCACACCGTGGAAGGTTGTTTCTTGAGAGACCTGAAAAGGAGGTTAGATTAACGTTGTTCTTAGTGACCTGGCAACGTGACCACAGAGCTAAACGGACAACCGCTTGTGGCCGTTCACAAACGTTTTGGAAGTTTTAGCTCCACTATTCAAGTAGTCTAACCGCCGGAGACGGAAACCTACGAGGTAATGTGAGGTTTGACATTTTTAGGGTCAATGTTTTCTAACCTCTTTCATTGTGACAAGGTAGCATTGCCACCGGTGCTGGTCGTCCGAGGGAAACACCTTACTGCTATCATACCTCTCTACAGTCAACAGTACGACTTCACCCTCATAACTTGAGTATCTGCTTTTAGTCTTATCGTTCTCCAATCGACCTGCCTGGCATGGTAGAACCTTCAGGAACATATGTTCCAGTCAATATAGCTCGGTTGGGTCATGGCAACAGGCAAGCCTGACCATCACGTCAAGCCATCAGTTACGTTCGGTTACAGTATCGCTCATAAATGAAACTATTTTATAGTTTAAAGCATTGAAGCAATGAATTTTTTATGATATTTCATTGATGTCATATATATTTTTATTGATAATGCTTTAGGCTGTATGCTGCAATGATGGAGAGCACTGTTGTCCTAATGGTTATAGATGTGATTTATCTGTTGGTAATTGTGTACGATTTTCAACGGATTCATCAGATGATTCGCAAAAGCCATCATCGAATATTATTACTCTATCATCGTCATCAAGAAACATTTCTTGTCCAAATAGTAATGTTTATTGTCCAGATAATACAACTTGTTGTAAATATAAAGATCAATGGGGTTGTTGTTTGTTTCCAAATGTAAGTTTATTATTATTATTATTATTATTATTATTATTATTATTACTGAAAACAAATCATGTACAGATATTCTGTTCCTTAAATCTCTACCTGCTGCTTTCGAAGAAACATAGAGCGTCGTGGGTGTGTTTCCTGTCGAGTGCTTATGATGTAGTGTGCAAGGTATCACTAGTCTCTTGATGGTCAGTATCCAACGTATTCCTGGACTTTGTAATTTTCTTGTCCAGACAATCGTTGCTAAGTTGCGCTGGACGATTTTAAATCAGAAGGCAAACACAAAGGGTTGAATACGTTTGTTTTCGCATAACACAAATGGATCAGCAGACTTCAAGCACGGAGAGCAGTGCAAGCATATTAGCAAGCGAATTGGCGAATGAAGTGAAGTGGTGAAGGCTAGTGAGCCAACTGGAATGGATAAAACATGACTAAGAATTTATAGTCAGAGAAAAATAAGACAGACATGTAACAAGCGAGATAGGCATACACACACGAATAAAAGCGACGAATGATTGACAAAGTCAAAAGACAAGTGAGGCAAGTCATGTGAGTTAGACATTGATTGACTCACAACAACGATTTGAAATGCCCTGATATGGTCACAAGTAGGGAGAGTTCACTCTTCCGCTTGAAATGCTCTCAAATGTAGCTATATCCAGAGAAGCCCTACTTAGTGATTTCTCTTGACACGGAATTGTTGATTATGAAATTGAGATGACGGTAAGCGGAATATTGTATGGTATCTGAACTAGGTTGATGGGTACGGATGATCCACCTAGTGGAGTTGAAAAACCCGGATGATGTCAAACCTACGGTGGACATAAGCTTCAAGATCCTAAGTAAACAAATGGCGTATGAACCTATTACTGGTCATCAGCTACTATGGGGCTGTATCTGTTGATGTTGCCTCACTAGTTTTCGGATTAGGCCTTTAGGGAAAAGTCTTGGTCAGTGGTCCCCCTGTGAAAAGCATATGATTTACTTTGGCCATCCAGGCAATAGTATCCTAGCACACATATATTGAGTGATTCGTGTGGCGTATATATATTTTGATGCTCTTTTCGTACTAATGTTAACGTGTTTAAAATAAAATCAATCACTGAGAAATATCACACCAATACGAATTAGTTGTCCAAAGTTTCCCAGTATTTCATTGATTAGCTAATTAAAAATAACCTGCATTGAAAATCGTAATATTCAAACAGCATTCTCTAATCAACCTACTCTGTCCTAGGCTTTCCCATCTACATCTACTTCTATCCAATTGTTGTTTATTCTTCTCATGACTACTTCCATTTCTCGGCATAAAGTGTTTTTTTGATGGGTCTCCTCCCTCTTTTCCTTTAAACTTGAAGGTTTCAAGTGAAGGCTTGCGTTGTCACACACTTTATTGCTTTTGTTAATATGTGTCCTATCTACTTCCAGCGCTTCTTCCTCCATTGGAATCTGATTTGTTCTGTATAAAAATAAAATAGTACTAGTGAATAACGTAGACAAAACAAAGTAGAAAGAACCACATATTTTGAAAACAAATTTTAAAATGTCGATGAAAAGGCTAGGAGGCGGGTTAAATAATAAGAATAATGTTATCACGGTTGTTGTCATGATCAGAATATTGATTCTTACATATACGCTTTGTCCAAGCCGCCCCTAGAAGTAGGTTGAAAGACTCGACCGTAGCTGTTACTTTGACGTGGTGGTCGGGTTGGCCTATATTGGCTGGAACATATGTTCCTATAGGTTGTAACATGACAGGCAGGTCGATTGGAAAACGATGAGACTAAAAACAGCTAATCAAGGTCTGAGGACAAAGTCGGTTGGAAGAAAATAAGGGGCGGTCATGCCAAAACATGGCACAATTTCATGATGTCAATGACAGCTGGATTGAGTCATGTTGATATGTGTAGATTACCTAGTCGGTGTCTGCGAGACAATAGTAACCGATGGTTAGCGACCTTGAATATCATCATGGCTCAAAATCGTTTGCAATGGCGCAGATGCATCTTCCCTTTGTGTTCTCTGAAATCCTAACCTTCTGAATTCCTCATCATCTCTATCTTTTTCTTTCTAAACTTCTTTCTTGAATAGTTTCTTCGAACCCGAATCTCCTGCAATTACCGCTAATACTTCTACTGTCTCTACCACTGTAGGATTTGGGCCAGACTAAAACATGACAGAAATGCATGAAATCACTGACAAGTTGACTGAGTCATGTTGGTGGTAGGTGTCGACTACCTAGTTGGGGTCCGCGAGATGATAATAATCGATGGTTAGAGACCCTGAATGACATGTCTCAAAACCGTTCACAATGGCGTAGGTGCATTCATTCTTTATGTTCTTTCAAATCCTAAACTTTTTCTTTTTGAGTGTATTTCACGAGACTGTACTTCTTGAATAATATCATCGAAACCTAATCTCTCCGATTACTGCTAATACTTCCACTAGCTCTACACTATGGGATTTGAACTGACAATTGCGTCTCTGTGGTCATGTGGTATGGCAATGTGACCTGATATACGTACACACGAAGTTCTACATCAGGGTTGTTTATTTTTTTGCTTACTTTCTTTCTTTCTATGTGTATTTTATTTTCTATAGGCAGTTTGTTGTTCCGATGGTATACATTGTTGTCCAGAAAATACAATTTGTAATTTACAACAGGAGATTTGTGTATCAACAACATCTGGTGAATTCATTGATAAGCTACAATTGAAATCTCAATCTCAAATTCAAAAACATGATGGCAAAGTTTCATCCAACACAATGTTTAATATTTGTCCTGATAAGCGATCAATTTGTATGGGTAGTAGTACATGTTGTTCTACGAATGTATCATCAGTGTATTTTTGTTGTCCTCATGAAAATGTATGTTGTTGTTGTTTTTTTGTTTGTTTGTTTGATTAATTAATTAATTAATTTATTTATTTATTTATTTATTTATTTATTTATTTATTCGTTTGTTTATTTGTTTTATTTTTATTTACTGATTGATTGTTGTATGTGATAATTCAAGTTTCGGTCAACTGCGATGTATAATACTATATACGTACGTACATACGTACATTAGTTCGAGTTATCATATCATATTATTACCACCAAAGACATCAAATTGTCTATTGAAATTCCATAGTACTAGAAGTATTAGCGATAATGAAGGAGATTAAAGTTTGAAGAAATTGTTCAAGAAGTATATAATCCAGTGAAATACACTTAGAAAAACGGGAAAAAAAACAGTCTTGAGAATTTCAGAAGTGTAGGATTTTAGAGGAGACAAAGAATGGATGCATCTGTGCGATTGCAAACGATTTTGTGTCATGTCAGTCAAGATCTCTAACTTTTAGTTACTATCATCTCGCGCAGCTCAATCACCTGGTCTACATCTACCAACAAGGCATAGTCCAATTGTCAGTGAATCATGGATTTGTGTCATGTTTTGTTTTGGCCTCCCCTAGCTTTCTTCCAGATAATTAAAGTATACTACTTGAATTCTTTCATAAAATTATTATAGATGGTCGATTTGAAACTAATTCATTATACGATAAGATTTAGCTTTAATAATTGCGTCTCGTCCTATTTTTTTTAACTTGTATCTGTTTGGTGAAGACACTAACAAAGCGCAGATTCTTCTGACCATCCTAAGCAACAGTGCAAGCAAGTTCGGCATACGGTTCTCTCCTTCGAAATGCAAAATGTTGCTTCAGGATTGGGTTGCATCGGCACCTGAACTAGTGTTAACGAAATAAGTAGTTAAGCGTGTAGACCGCTTCACTTATCTCGAGAGTCCGATCAGTGCTGATGGCCTAGTTGGTGTGTGACGAAATCTCAATACGGCTACAGCAGGCTCGATTAGCTTTTTCCAAGTTGCGTCAGTTATGGCGTACGCGAGATATCCGTTCGATATCCAAAGGACGAGTGTACTGCGCAGCAGTTTGCTTTTTCCAATTATATGGATGTATGACATTGTTGGTAAGAGTAGAAGACATGGATGATTGTGGAGTAGCTGTTTAAAAAAAACACACTGAAAGATGATGTATTGACGAACTGATGAATTCGATTGAACGCTATTTTATGGTGACATGAAATGGTATGATATAATTAGGTAATCAGTCAGATAGTTAGTTAGTCGGTCCAACTGCTTACATAATATCATTGTAATGTTGATTGTATTTTTCAGGCTGTTTGCTGTGGCGATGGTAAACACTGTTGCCCACAAGGTGCAACTTGTGATCCAATCAAAGGAGGTTGTATTCCAAAAGAAAAGGACGATGATTCATCCAAATCTGATCATATTCCATTGTTGAAAAAGTTTGCAGCCTTACGTGTTACTTCGAAAGAGAATTCACTATCCACTAGTTTCACTGAAATTTGTCCTGGTGGTAAAGCGAAATGTCCGGATAAGACAACTTGTTGTGAATTAAAAGATGGCCAATATGGATGTTGTCCAGGTGAAAATGTGAGTTTTCATTGTCACTTTGAATTGTGCTATGAATGTTGTGCCTATTTGAACGGTTGTTTTGAAATTTATTTTGCACTTTTGATCACTTCAGAGTACTTTTACACTGCAACTACTGGAATGACAGTGAAAAGGCTCGAAACATGCGTGGAATGTTTACTGCCAGATTAGTTATGTGCAAAAAATCGAATGTATTCATAATTTTGTTTATGTGAGGTTGTTTTTCTAGAAACTTATAGAAATGTGCTAAATTTTGTTGACGATATCGGTAGTTATGTTGGTTGTTCAAATCTGTCTTTTTATGTCTTATGTTATATTTGATCCATCCTTTTTGTTTTGTGTGTGTGTGTGTGTGTTTAAACATCAACACAACTGCAGGTACATCCATCCAACTGACAAGTTCAAAATAATACAAAACGTGCGTTTTCCGGTCTCCACTGCTGATTTTCTGCATTACTTAACGAGAATATATCATGTTTTCCACCATTAGTTATAATAACAGATAGAATAGTCAGTCAGTCAGTAATCAGTGTAGAGCCTGCGCACAAATGTGCATTAGACTAAGTTGTCATACCATAGCATACCGCACGACAAGATGAAGGTTGTAAGAAAACTGAAATAGTGTTTTGTTGGGGATGTTAGATCCCCAGAACTCGCCTGATAAATGCCTTATTTTGGATTTTACGTTTGCCAGCATGAGCTGATCAGTCGACCTTGAGGTTTCATTTCCCATTAGGAAAATCCTTGGCTGTGATTGGTTGCTGTGTATTTTAGTGTGCTATTTTGTGACTGTCCCAGGGACGTTTGTATGATGTATAAATAAACGTGAGTTGTGTGCTTGATTGTATTGTGCTTGCTGGGTGTTTGTAGAATATAGGCTTATCAATACTTCTGTTTTGGCGTTTTCGGATAAAGGTAGCCTACCTGGACGCTGATTAATTGTCTGGTTCGAGTTTATCGACTAAGGTGAACCCGTAATAGCTTCTAGCGTACCTAGTGACGAACCTAACATGTAATATTAGTAATAGTAATATTAATAATAACAAAAAAAATGTTAACTATTGAGAAAATGATTTGAAAAATCAAGAGTGAAAAGATATGTGTATGAAAGAATTTTGGTATTGAAAATCTAGAGAGAGAGATACAGTGTGAATACACTATCAATATAAACGATTCTAACTCATGCTTATTGAACATTTTCAACTACTGATCTCTGTTTTGGCGCGGCTCACAATAAGGTAGTCTGGATAAACCAGCAAAGTGCCCAGAACATTCGAATTTTACAGAGAATTTTTCTGATCCATCTAATTTGATCTGTGTTGAAAGCATAAACCTGTCGAAGGATGTATGCAAGTGTGGTTCGAAAGCATCCTGTCTGTAGAGTATCACACCGGATACACAGCTTATATCTAGGTGTGTTTCACAGTCATGAATCTCACTTACTTCATCCTGAAAAATCAAACTTACGAAGAGTAGCTCAACCTAAATTGGTTTGCATATCCTATTACTATCATCAATCCTGTCGAATGAATTGGAGTGGAGAAGGCTAGTGAGCCCACTGGAATAGATAAAGCATGACTAAGAATTTATAGTCATAGAAAAATAAGACAGACGTTTAACAAGCGAGATGGGCATACACACACGAATAAAAGCGACGAATGATCGACAAAGTCAAAAGACAAGTGAGGCAAGTCATGTGAGTTAGACATTGATTGACTCACAACAACGATTTGAAATGCCCTGATATGGTCACAAGTAGGGAGAGTTCACTCTTCCGCTTGAAATGCTCTCAAATGTAGCTATATCCAGAGAAGCCCTACTTAGTGATTTCTCTTGACACGGAATTGTTGATTATGAAATTGAGATGACGGTAAGCGGAATATTGTATGGTATCTGAACTAGGTTGATGGGTACGGATGATCCACCTAGTGGAGTTGAAAAACCCGGATGATGTCAAACCTACGGTGGACATAAGCTTCAAGATCCTAAGTAAACAAATGGCGTATGAACCTATTACTGGTCATCAGCTACTATGGGGCTGTATCTGTTGATGTTGCCTCACTAGTTTTCGGATTAGGCCTTTAGGGAAAAGTCTTGGTCAGTGGTCCCCCTGTGAAAAGCATATGATTTACTTTGGCCATCCAGGCAATAGTATCCTAGCACACATATATTCAGTGATTCGTGTGGCGTATATATATTTTGATGCTCTTTTCGTACTTATGTTAACGTGTTTAAAATAAAATCAATCACTGAGAAATATCACACCAATACGAATTAGTTGTCCAAAGTTTCCCAGTATTTCATTGATTAGCTAATTAAAAATAACCTGCATTGAAAATCGTAATATTCAAACAGCATTCTCTAATCAACCTACTCTGTCCTAGGCTTTCCCATCTACATCTACTTCTATCCAATTGTTGTTTATTCTTCTCATGTCTACTTCCATTTCTCGGCATAAAGTGTTTTTTTGATGGGTCTCCTCCCTCTTTTCCTTTAAACTTGAAGGTTTCAAGTGAAGGCTTGCGTTGTCACACACTTTATTGCTTTTGTTAATATGTGTCCTATCTACTTCCAGCGCTTCTTCCTCCATTGGAATCTGATTTGTTCTGTATAAAAATAAAATAGTACTAGTGAATAACGTAGACAAAACAAAGTAGAAAGAACCACATATTTTGAAAACAAATTTTAAAATGTCGATGAAAAGGCTAGGAGGCGGGTTAAATAATAAGAATAATGTTATCACGGTTGTTGTCATGATCAGAATATTGATTCTTACATATACGCTTTGTCCAAGCCGCCCCTAGAAGTAGGTTGAAAGACTCGACCGTAGCTGTTACTTTGACGTGGTGGTCGGGTTGGCCTATATTGGCTGGAACATATGTTCCTATAGGTTGTAACATGACAGGCAGGTCGATTGGAAAACGATGAGACTAAAAACAGCTAATCAAGGTCTGAGGACAAAGTCGGTTGGAAGAAAATAAGGGGCGGTCATGCCAAAACATGGCACAATTTCATGATGTCAATGACAGCTGGATTGAGTCATGTTGATATGTGTAGATTACCTAGTCGGTGTCTGCGAGACAATAGTAACCGATGGTTAGCGACCTTGAATATCATCATGGCTCAAAATCGTTTGCAATGGCGCAGATGCATCTTCCCTTTGTGTTCTCTGACTGCAGTCAGTGGGGCATAGGCAGATATGACGAATAGGCAACGGCGAGTGTCCCTATCCTTACGAGTCCTTACTGTCCCGTTTAGTCGGACAGCGCACAAACGACTATCTACTGGGATCCAGTCTAGGAGAGATAATTCTGCCCTAGGACTCAACGCTATGCCTACGCCAGCAAGACCCCTGGAAGCAGCATCAGGGCTACCGGATACCGAAGAGTAAATCGAGCTGCTTCTTCGTTTTGACAAGGTGGAATCAGGTTAATGACTTTACTAGGATCCTGTATGCGCGTTTCCGAGACGCAGCATACATCGATGGCACGAGTTTCTAAAGTCCTAGCTAATGATGCCTGTTGCCCTATTGACACAATGTCCGTACATTAAAAGCTCCAATATGTAGTCTAGAACGGGGTTTCAAGAGACCAGGAACGACGTTTCGTGATCTCGCTTCGTCTGCATTAGCGGTGCAGTGAGAAAAGGGAGTGTGAGTACAGTTAGTCGTAGAGATAAGAGAGACATGAGGGGGTGTAGGAAGGATTTGATTTTGACCAATTTGGTCTCGCGTGCTGATACGGGTATGAGGGCGGTTGTCACTTCCCGGCTGCCCACACCGTGGAAGGTTGTTTCTTGAGGGACCTGAAAAGGAAGATGGATTAGTGTTGGTGCGTGACCGCAGAGCCCAAGGGACAACTGCTTCAGGCCGGTCACGCACGGCCTTTTTATGAAACGTTTTTTGAGGATTAGCTCCGTTCTTAAAGGCCCTTAGTGGGCACCCCTACCCAAGGAGACGGAAATCCGTGAGTTAGGGGGAGTGTGACATTTTTAGGGCCGACCTTTTCTAACCCTTCCTTCCTTGTGAGAAGGCAGCATCGCTGCAGATGCTGGTTGTCCGAGGGAAACACCTTACTGCTGTCACACCCCTCTGCAGTCAGCAGTACGACTTCGCCCTCAGACCTTGGGTAGCTGCTTTTAGTCTCATCGTTCTCCAATCGACCAGCCTGGCATGGTAGGACCTGCAGGAACGTATGTTCCAGCCAGTATAGCTAGGTTGGGTCATCAAGATAGGCAGGCCCGACCACCACGTCAAGGTAGCAGCTTCGGTCGAAAGGAGAGAGATAGAGACACTGTGAATCCTATTCGTAATTCCCCTCATTAATTTCCAGCCTTATTTTAAACTAATAATAATAATAATTTGTCGAAGTGTCAGTGAGAGTATCATCTATAGACGAAGAGATAAAATTGATGATAGCAAGTCCTGGAATTTGACGTATGTACATCAGTTCAAGTTACTTTACCACATTAGCCCTGAGAGAGAGAATTGTCAATTCAAATTGCATAGTGTTAAAGGTAGTAGAAGTATTAGCAGCTAATGGAGAAGATTAGTGTTTGAAGACATTATTCTTGAAGTATGATCGAGTGAAATAAATTTATAAAGAGAAAGAGAGACAGAGGTGATGAAGAATTCAGATTAGAATTTGAGAAAACACAAAAATTGGAAGCCCGTGCGTATTGACCGCTTCACATAACTTGGTTGTCCCATCAGTGCTGATGACGAAATCTCAGTACGGATACAGCAGGCTCGATTGGCTTTTGTCAACTTGCGTCACTTATGGCGCAGGCATTGTATCCGTCTGCTAATCAAAGAGCGAGTGTATTGTGCAGCAGTTCTCTCTGTCCTATTATATGGATGTATGATATTGCCGGTAAGAGTAGAAGACATTCATAGGTTATTATTCTTCGATTATAGATGTCTTCGAAGCATTGCTCGTATGTCCTGGAGTCATGAATATTTTATAGTTTATAAGATTATACTTGGTTAGTTAGAAAGTGATGTATATTCTTCGTGTAAAATGTTGGTGGCTGTAGTACATATTGGTTGTTTGCTCTGTTTTTCATCCATTTGGTTAGTCATTCTGTCTACTTGTGTTCCATTAATGCTGTGGTGGATACTACTCACAAAGTAGCTAATAAATAGTATGTAGCATATGTGTGGCATCACGTGGAAGTTGTTAGCAGAGAAAACAGTGTCAGGAAATGAAAATGTACCGTTTGGTCAGTGTAATATGAAGACCAAATGAGTTGTCAAAGAGGTCAATCAATAATCTGCTTGCATTGTATGTAAATCGATAATTTCACAACTATGTGTACGTAATTCGTCAACAACCGGTATCTTCCCCACACAAATTCCATCCATTTTTGACTGTTTTTATTTATCCCACTACTCTATGTTCAATGTATATTCAAGGCGAAGTCAACATCATACAAGTGGATGATTCTGGAGTAGCTGTTAAAAAAAAACCAAACTGAACGATGTATTGACGAACTGATGAATTCGTTTGAACGCTATTTTATGGTGACATGAAATGGTATGATATAATTAGGTAACCAGTTATTCAGACAGTCAGATAGTTAGTTAGTTAGTCCAACTGCTTACATAATATCATTGTAATGTTGATTGTATTTTTCAGGCTGTTTGCTGTGGCGATGGTAAACACTGTTGCCCACAAGGTTCAACTTGTGATCTAATCGAAGGAGGTTGTGTTCCAGGGGAGGTGGAAATTTGTCCTGGTGATAAATCGAAATGTCCGGCTAAGACAACTTGTTGTGAATTAAAAGGTGGCGAATATGGATGTTGTCCAGGTGAAAATGTGAGTTTTCATTGTCACTTTGAATTGTGCTATGAATGTTGTGCCTATTTGAACGGTTGTTTTGAAATTTCTTTCCGCCCCTTTTCACCTCATAGTACTTACTTTTACACCGCAACTACTCGAACGATATTGAACAGGTGTGAAACATGTTCGGGATGTGTACTTCGAATTCGGTTATATCATTCAAGGTCTCTAGCCTTCGGTAATTTTGCTCGCCGGACCTAATCCAAATAGTATACAACTGCTACTAACGTGGCTCATTCCATTTGTCCATTGAATTCACGAATGTGTCTCATATTTTAGTTTAGGCGCCTCTTTTTTAATGTGAAATTGTGAAATTTTGTCAAATCTTTATATCTTTTGCATTGTTTTCTACATTGTGTTACATTCTAATTCATGATAGGCTACTTGTTGTACGGATGGTATTCATTGTTGTCCATCAGAAACTACATGTGACTACAAAACTAAATCATGTATTAAGAAAATTGACAATGATTATTCAGCTGATGATTTCTTACATAATCCTACATTGTTATTCAATCGAGTGCGTGATCATACTTGTCCTGATCATCAATCTGTATGTACTGATGAACAGACTTGTTGTCAACTGCCTGATGATAGATCATGGGGTTGTTGCCCATTGCCAAATGTACGTGCTATTTGTGTCAATTAATATTTAATGCTTGTTTTTATATTATTCGACTTTAAATTTTTTTTCTTAGAATTTACCATAAGGTAATTCAGTCAGTCAGTCAGTCAGTCATTTAGTTATAACATAGCACTTCTTGGTACGTATGTCCATCAGTTCTGGCTGTCTTCTATACCACATCAACACACAGAGTCGCAATTGTCAATTCAAATCTCATGATGATGAAGAAAGTAGAAGAATTACTGGCAATGGAGAAGTATAATTCAGTGAGATAAGTGTAGAAAGACAAGATTAAGATTTGAGAGAACGCAAAAGGTGGATGCACCTGCACCATTGCAAACGATTTTTAGCCATGTCATTAAAGATCTCTAGCCATTGGTGAATTTCGTCTCGTGGACCCCGACCATGTAGTCGACATCTACCAACACGACTCCAGTTGTCAGTGACTTCCTGAATTTTTTTCATGATTTGGTTTGGGCGCCCCTTACTTTTTCCAACTTATTTCGACACCACAAAACACAGCTCGTCGAGATAGTCGTTGGTTGGGCACACGTAACACATGACCCAACCACCTTAACTGATGAAGTTTGAATGCTTCATCTATTGATCTGCCATCCTTACCTAGCACCCGTTTCCTATTAACAGCGTTGCTCACTCGGGTGTCCGAGGATATATGAGCAATAGTTCTAAGACATCTATGATCGAAAACCAGTAACCTACGAATATCTTCTACTCTCCTTGGCCATGTTTCACAGCCATAAAGTAAGATGGAGCGAACTACTGCACTGTACATTCGTCCTTTAGTCAGCAAACGGATATCTATTGATAGGCCATTTACTTTAGCCTCAACATCAATGCATTCGACCAATTGATGATTCCTGGGTTATCTCAAAAACACCCTTCAAATAACAATATTTGCATGTATCTTTTGTTGCTTTTAAAAATCTTAATTGCCATAAATTTCATTACTGTTTATTTATTTGTTTGGTGTCTCTCTCTCTCTCTCTTTCTCTGCACATATATGCACTTCGTTTCTCTACAGCTTATGTTCATACGTACGAAGTCAGTTCTAACTGACTGACTGACTGACTGATTGCACCATCCATGCTATTCTTTCGGGGTTCGAACCCATGGTCGTTGATCTGGCATGCGAACACTTAGAACTGCTAGACACCATATAAATTTTAATTTTGCTGGCTGACATTTAGTTGGTATTTTCTTCATTGTTTCGTTATTATTATTATTATTATTAGTGTGTGTGTGTATGTGTGTGTGCCTTGATAACACGCCACAATCAATGATTACATAAGTGTTTATATAGTTTATTCGAACAAATTACTATTTTTTTTCACATAGATGTAAATGTAATTCGACTTTGTAATCTAACTATCTACCTACCTATCTACCTTACTTATCTACCCTATTTTAATCAACTTTCGGTTATACTTTTTTTTTTCTTCTCCATGGTATATTACATATTTAAAGGCATAAATATTGTAAATGAGACTTCAAAGTTCCGAATTTTTATTATCATATAGGAGCATACATTCGTATATATATATTGATAATAATCATTGTGTTATTATTATTATTATTATTTTGATATAAATTACATGAAACTTCATGGTGTTTATTGTTAATTAAGATCAGGTAACTAACTAACTAACTAACTGACTATTTTTAAATGATACAATTAGTTTAGTTAGTTAGTTGTACATGTGGCTGGCTATTCACAGAGTCTAATTGTGGTTTGATTTTACGAAAAATTTTTTAACTAGATTAGATAGATTTTAGATGGATTAGTTTATGGTGTCTACTTTATCTCTCTCTCTATCTGTCACAGCTGAATAGTAGTTTATAATCATGACATTAGGATACTGTCTTTCTGAATCAATTAGATTTGCAGCATGTAGTTAGTAGTTAGAAAATTTTCTTACTTACATGTGTGGAGCATAGGCCGCCGACCAGTATTCTCCAACCTAATATTCTATCCTGGACCTCTTCCTTTCCCAGTTCTGTCCGATTTATCTTCAATCTTCCCAATGTCTCTCTCCATTTTCTGGGGGTCTCGCTCCTCTCCTTTGACCTTGAGGATTCCAATTCCAAGTGGAGGGCTTGTCTTATGATGCAGTTTAATGTTTTTCACAATGTGTATCCTATCGACTAACTCTAGTATTTTTCTCTAATTTTTACCTTAGTTGGAATTTTGATTTGTTCTGTCTCACAGTAAGTTGTTACTGATAGTGTGTCTGGCCAGTGGATCTGAAGTATTTGGCGTAGACTACGGCTTTTACCACTATGGGGGATTTGAATTGACAATTATATCTCTGTGTGTTAATATGGTATGGCAACTTGTACTGACGTGTTATATGTACGAAGTTCTACGTTGTAACTGACTGACTGACTGACTGAATCAACACAATCGTCAGTAGAAATTCCAGATTGAAAAATCAGATATTTGAATTTCTTGATATTTGACTAATTGTACGTTTTGATAGTTTATACTTAAAAAACAAATCTTAGCTGAACCACTATTGAAAACCAATAAAGCACTTAATAACCTTGAATGTACACCAACCGACCAGTGGTCTAGATTGTTAAGCATTCACAATCGCTGTGGTGGAGTTGCTGAATGCTCACTGCCACTGTGAATCTCCATATGTAGCAAGAAAAACTAGTTAATCGGGCTGATTTTTTATTGATGACTGAGTGTTAAGCTCTAGAAACTCTTGTGATCGTCATCGTTATTTACTCTGTCTAAAATTTCACACGATAAATAACTGATTGACTAAGTGGTTATGAGGGTCGTTTATGTGCACTGCTGAGTAGTCCTGTTGCAGAACGAAACGGTGGTCCAGTGATTTCAAGTGAAACTCAATCTCTGCCATCCTATACCAGTCAGTCAGTCAGTCAGTTACAATGTAGATCTTCGTACGTACGTACATAAATATTAGTTCAGGTAGGCATATTGCATTAGCACACAGAGAGATGCAACTGTCAGTTCAAACACCACATTACCTGTATAAATTGTATCTTTGAAATGATCTCAATTGATTGAAGCTTGTTCAGGAGAATATTTTATAAATCATGAGTGTATATTTTGTTAAGAAATGAATGAAATCAAATATTATATACCAAATAATACAAATCAATTGAATGTACTTAGGAATTATTCATTAAAATCACGAGTCGATCAATGTTAAATCACCATTCTATTAGAAACCAACCAAACGCTGGACGACCGTTTCGTCCTAGTACTGGGACTCATCAGTGGCACTGCATATCCATGAACGCCCGCTTATTGCGAGAATGAGAACGCAGGATCTTCTGCCTCGTACGAGAAAGCTTCACGTTTATTTAGACTAGTGACCCGGCATCCAGTCCTTCCAGCGATCATCAACAATCTCTACAATTTTAGAGGAATAAAATTATTCATCGAAATTTAGACAGAAAAAAAATACCATTTTACTAAATGAGATTATTATTATTATTATTATTATTATTATTACTATTATTATTATTGTTTTATCTCATAATATCACTTTGTACTTTCAACTCATCCCAGTAATTGATTGATTGATATATTTTTTGAATCTTGTCTGTTATTTTCTTTTCTCTTTCTCTCTCTCCTAATTTAGGCTGTTTGTTGTGCAGATCGATTACATTGTTGTCCAGATGGTACAACGTGTGATCTCGAAGCAAATACATGTATTGAATCATTCAAATTTAATCAATCTACTACAAAAATCATTTCTGATGGTTTTAATATGCTGAATGCTGTACAGAAATCATCAACAAGTGGTAATTCACAATCACAACCAATGAAATCGTTGAATACTATTGCTACTACCACGACGACGACCACTGTGGTACAAGCAAAATGGTGTGGAGCATGTGGTGACACTTGGGCATGTTGTCCAAATACTAATTTCAATGAATGGTTATGTTGCCCTTATGTTGGTGTAAGTTATGAATAATAATAATAATAATAATAATAATAATAATAATAATAATAATAATAATAATAATAGTAATAATAATAATAATACTTTTTCAACTTTGATACAAATCATCACTTTTTGGTATTAGTACTTTTTGTTTTTTTGTAAATGCACTAACTATGTAATAGTCAGATTTATGCTTCGTGGATTTTTGCATGGGATTCTTTCAGAGCAGTGTTGCTTGCATCCGTGTGTTGTTAAGGGTCGATTTTAAAGTGTTCTGCTCTGCTCTTCAAGTGGCCTTATCTCCGTAGACGAAAAAATCCATTGGGTGTGACATTTTTAGGGTCGACCTTTTCTAACCCCTTCTTTCCTTGTGATAAGATAGGAATCGCCACAGGTGCGGGTTGTCCGACGGAAAAACCTTACTGGTGTCTCACCTCTCTACAGTCAGCAGTACGACTTCGCCCTCAGACCTTGAGCAGCTGCTTTTAGTCTCATCGTTTTCCAATCGACCTGCCTGGCATGGTAAGACCTAAAGGAACATACGTCCCAGTCGATATAGCTCGGTTGGGTCATGACTATAAACAAGCTCGACCACCACGTCAAGGTAGCAACTACGGTCGGGATGCGAAACATGACCGTTAAGAGTTGAGGTATTTGATCATAGATGTCTTTGGAGCATTGCTCATGTATGGTGGGACAACCGAGTAGGCATTGCTGTCGTTTAGAAACAACGAGCAACGTTTTGCGGTGTAGGAGTTGGCTGGAAGAAAGTTAGGGTAAGCCAAACCAAAACCTGGCACAAATTCATGGAGTCACTGACACGTGAACTAAGTCGTGTTGGTGAGTGTAGACTACCTGGTTAGGAATCGGGAGACGATAGTTACCGATGGTTAGTGACTTTGAATGACATCGCTCAAAATCATTTGCGATGATGCAGATGCGTCCATTCTTTATCTTCTCCCAAATTCTAATCTGAATTCATCACGACCGTTTTTTCTCGAATCATATCTTCGAACCCTGAAATTTTCGATTACTGCTAATCCTTTCACTACCTCTATTACTATGGGATTTGAATTGACAATTACATCTCTGTGTGCTAATGTGATATGACAACTTAAACTGATGTACATATGTACGAAATCCTATGTTGTTGCTGACTGTCTGACTGACTGACATCAGTCTTAAGATTAATACTTCCATACTGTTCATCTCATTAAATCATACTCTTCATTAAAGTGAATAAGTAATCATAGCTTTTAAATTATTCCAATCAAGTCTGTGCAATCATAGTTGGTGTTTGTGTTTGTGTGTGTATGTGTGTATAACGGAAATGCTCAATAAGTGGTGTGTTAGACTTTTTTTTATAATTAATTGCAATCATCACCATATTCGAACGTCATGTGATGAGCATATTTTAAAATCAATACGGATGTTGTTGATCATACGATGAAAATATTTTGCAAATTTGCTGTCGATTGACTCTAAAATAAAAAGTGATTCTCTTGAAGACATACTGAATATATATATATATGTATATTATCTGTGGTGGAGTTTCGTTCTCTGAGCTGGATGTTTCGGTTGTGCAGCTGTTACGAATGCACGTAAACACGTCAACTTAATATGCTTGGACTATTACGAGTTTACCTTAGTCTGGAAGGAGAGCGAGGATCCGGCGACACAATATGCTACTCTGATCCGATTATCCCAACCCCCATATTGAGTAAAAATAAGAAAACTTGATATGAAGTAGAACCTGTATTCTACAAGCATCCAGAAAGTACGAGGTTCGAGTCCAGAAGAGAATCAGGATCCTGGACTAGGGATCCGGGACCGGGTGCTGGTCATAAAACGTTACAGATAATGCGTATTTATATATTTAGGTCGTATAGGAAACAGCATCGAAGTCTGTGACATTAACATTCAGGACGACCAATGCGAAACAGCATTCGAGTACGTGACATTGATATCTAGGACGACCATAAAATTGACCAGTTGGAATTAATCAATAGGAATTGACCAACAATTCTCTTAGGATATTGGATGAATATCCTAACAGAACCTTTCATTATTCTTCTGCACAACAACATCAGCACAAACCTCACATAGAAGTGCTCCCCTTATCCATTGGGAACTCAAAGAACACTAGAGAATTTTTTAGAAGCTCAGCACTCAGATCAATCAGCAATCAATCAACACATCAACATTGAAAGCAATTTATCAACCGATTAGGAATAATCCTAGGCAAACATAAGATCAAGAAACAGATCATCAAAGGGGGATACAATCAAAATTAAGGTGCAAACAACGACAGGTTTTAAGGTCAACAGCAACCAATCAAGATCGAGGTTAGCAGAACAAGCTACAAGTCATACACGTAGAGAAATTCTGATACTTCATTTCTTCTAACTGAAGTTTGTGCTGATGTTGATGTTGTTGCGTTCAGAACTAAACAATGAAATCTACACAACCAAAACATCCCCTGCTCAGAGAACGAAACACCACCATATACATATTTTATTTGTCAATGTACACTATATTCCTTATTACTTACTTACTTACTTACTTACTTACTTACTTAGTTACTTACTTACCTACTTACTTACTTACTTACTTACTTACTTACTTACTTACTTACTTACTTACTTACTTACTTACTTACTTACTTACTTACTTACTTACTTACTTACTTACTTACTTACTTACTTACTTACTTACTTACTTACTTACTTACTTACTTACTTACTTACTTACTTACTTACTTACTTACTTACTTACTTACTTACTTACTTACTTACTTACTTACTTACTTACTTACTTACTTACTTACTTACTTACTTACTTACTTACTTACTTACTTACTTACTTACTTACTTACTTACTTACTTACTTACTTACTTACTTACTTACTTACTTACTTACTTACTTACTTACTTACTTACTTACTTACTTACTTACTTACTTACTTACTTACTTACTTACTTACTTACTTACTTACTTACTTACTTACTTACTTACTTACTTACTTACTTACTTACTTACTTACTTACTTACTTACTTACTTACTTACTTACTTACTTACTTACTTACTTACTTACTTACTTACTTACTTACTTACTTACTTACTTACTTACTTACTTACTTACTTACTTACTTACTTACTTACTTACTTACTTACTTACTTACTTACTTACTTACTTACTTACTTACTTACTTACTTACTTACTTACTTACTTACTTACTTACTTACTTACTTACTTACTTACTTACTTACTTACTTACTTACTTACTTACTTACTTACTTACTTACTTACTTACTTACTTACTTACTTACTTACTTACTTACTTACTTACTTACTTACTTACTTACTTACTTACTTACTTACTTACTTACTTACTTACTTACTTACTTACTTACTTACTTACTTACTTACTTACTTACTTACTTACTTACTTACTTACTTACTTACTTACTTACTTACTTACTTACTTACTTACTTACTTACTTACTTACTTACTTACTTCGCTTATTTCTTGTTGAACAGAGGTTGCCAACTCAAGATTCTTTGCCACAACTCTGCCCTGGATTCTTTGTTCTAGTTATTTTCAAGCGTCATTGCATTGTTTTGTTTACTTTCCTCCAATACTCGACCTAATGGGTTATTTTTTGGGGTTTCCCACTTTTTCCTTTGTCTTGTCACGTAATTCAACTGGTAGTTGAGTGTTTTTCCATAATGTGTATGCTCTTGTAAAGAATTAAAATTTTAAAATCGACCAATGTTTTAGTCAATTTTTAATCAATCTAAATAACCTCAATTATCTGTCCGTTTTTTTCGTTCTTTTAACCTTCATCTTTCCCTTCTCAAATGTATTTCACTAGATTATACTCCTTGAATAATAACATCTTCAAAACCTAATCTCTCTGATTACTGCTCATACTTCTACTCTACTCTATTACTATGAGATTTGAATGGACAATTCAATCTTTCTATATGCTAATGTTGGAACGATCAATTGAACGGAACTCACCACTCTACATCAACTTCATTGACTATGAGAAAGTATTCGATAATATGGACAGGACAACACTATGGAGGCTTCTTCAACATTACGGCGTGCCTAAGAAGATAGTCAACATCATACGGATTAAACTGCAAAATCGTGCACGGAGGACAGCTAACAGACTCTTTCGAGGTGAAGACCGGTGTCAGGCAAGGTTGCTTACTCTCACCCTTTCTCTTTCTCCTGGTGACCGACTGGATTATGAAGACGTCGACATCTGGAGGAAAGCACGAAATCCATTGGACAGCTAGGATGCAGCTGGACGATTTGGACTTTGCAGATATTCCCTGGCTCTTCTATCGCACACGCAACAACAAATGCAAGAGAAGACGACCAGTGTAGCAGCAGCCTCTGCAGAAGTAGGTCTCAACACACATAAAGAAAAAAGAAAAATTCTCCGATGCAACACAACATGCACCAACCAAATCACTCTTGATGGAGATGCCTTGGAGGACGTCAACACCTTTACATATCTTGGCAGCATCATCGACGAGCAAGGTGGATCCGATGCAGATGTGAGGGCGCGGATCGGCAAAGCAAGGGCTGCATTTCTACAATTGAAAAATATCTGAAACTCCAAACAAATATCAATCAACACCAAAATAAGGATTTTCAATACAACTGTCAAGACAGTTCTACTGTATGGAGCGGAAACCTGGAGAACTACCAAAGCCATCATGCAGAAGATACAAGTGTTTATGAACAGTTGTCTACGCAAAATACTTCGTATTCGTTGGCCAGACACGATCAGCAACAACGAACTGTGGGAGAGAACAAACCAGATTCCAGCGGGGTTGGAAATCAGGAAGAAGCGGTGGAAGTGGATAGGACAAACAATACGAAAAGCACCTAACTGTATCACGAGACAAGCCCTTACATGGAACCCTCAAGGCAAAAGGAAAAGAGAAAGGCCAAGGAACACATTACACCGAGAAATAGAGAAAGATATAAGAGGAATGAACAAACATTGGACAGAACTGGAGAGGGAAGCCCAGGACAGAGTTGGTTGGAGAAAACTGGTGGGCGGCCTATGCTCCATTGGGGGTAACAGGCGTAAGTAAGTAAGTAAGTATGCTTATGTGGTATAGCAACTTGAACTGACATGCGTACATACAAAGTTCTACGTTGTTACTGATTGACTGACTGACTGACTGACTGACTGACTATGTATTTTTAATTTACTTATCTATCATAGAAAATAGTTTTTTTTTAAAAATAAATTGTATAAAAATTTTCATGTTTTTTTTCTCTACTGTTCAATTAGGGAGAATGTTGCATTGGACATAATACCTGTTGTCCACGTGGGTCACATTGTTTACCTGATGGAAAATGTGAACAACTTACTAAAAATATCCTCAAATCATTCGCACCTAATTTAATACCGTCCACACCAATGACTAATAATAATCTACCTAGATCCTCTTTTATCCAACAAACTAATGAAAAAGAAGAAAAAGAAGGAGGACGCTTTAGAACAGCAATGTCTAAAGCTGCTAAACCTGCTCAAAGAAATATCTTACTTCGGTAAGTCACAACTGTTTCATATGTTTGTTATTCCATTGAAAATTGTTTCTGTTATAGTCCGTGTAAAATATCATGCCTTTGATTATTGGACTACATAAACTTTCTGTTTTATTGACTGATGAGAATACTATGACACTGCTTGATTAAACAACTCAATACTATTAACAACAATCGCAATAATTGAACATCTACGAGCTGTTTCTTACCCCAGTGTTCAATCAATCTGTTGGTTTCGATTCCTCTCGTCAAAAACACAAGGAAATCGTATATGATAACTTCCTAACCATACAATATTACAAATAAAAAAATCCAGGATATTTTATTAGGTTAGTCCATATAAAATTTGACTGTCGAACTTGAGACATGTAGGTTGGTGAAGATTACTTTAGTTAAGATCTGTGTGACTATTGTAACCCCTAGGGATTGATAACTTCGGATGGATTAATGGCTAAGAATCATTTGCAATGGCTCAAGTATATTCACTCTTTGTCTTCCCTTAGATACCCCTACTTTGTATGCCGATTTATAATTTCTTTGTTCGACTTATGCATAGTTTGTTCTTGATTAGTATCTTCGATATTCATTACTTCTATTATCACTAACAACAGTGTTATTAATTAGCTCGACTACTCTGGGATCTGCCCCTGACAAGTTTATCCCACAGTGTGCTAATAAGATGTAGTGTCTTCGAAGCATCGCCTGTGTAATCTGTGACCATTGAGTAGGCAGTGGTTGGGCCGGGAGATGGGGTATGAGTTAAGGATGACAAATCAATTGGTGAGGCGATTGGGACATGTGTGTTACATATGGCCTACCGCCGCATACCTCGATAAGTGATGTTGCCTGGTGTTGGATTAATTTAGACGAAAGCTAGGCTTGAAGTCGTAGAAGTATTAGTTGTAATGGAGAAGAAGATCAGGGTTCGAAGGAAGATATTATTCAAGAAGTGAAATTAATTTAAAATTGAGAAAGATAAAGGTGATGAAGAATTCAGAAGATTAGCATTCGAGAGAACACAAAGAGTGGGGATACACCTGCTCCATTGCATACAGTTTTAAGCCATGTCATCCAAAGTTTCTATTATCTCGCAGACCCCAACCATGTAATCTACATCCATTGACATGGCTCACTCCACTTGTCGGTGACTTTATGGATTTGTGCCTTGCTTTGTTTTGGCCTTCCTTAACTTTCTTCCAACCTACTCCTACACCACCAAACATTGCTAGTCGAAGCAGTCGGTGGTTGGGCATTCGTATCACGTGTCCTAACCACCTCAGTTGATTGAGTTTCAATTATTTATCTATTGATCAGTTCCCATGTGTCAGATTATGACATTATCTTAGTCTGTCTCTGATTATCTACAAAAGCGATAAGTTTTAAAATGCTCTCTATCACATATGCACAATTAACCTCATATTCAGTTACATGTATTAATGAGCCAATCACAGGTAACGAAATAAGAAGGTCACTTGGTGACGAATGAATGCATAAAATTATTGGTCAAGAAATGGATTCGTTTTTCTAAGGCCGAATAATGCATATCAGTGTGTTGTTATGGGTATGAGGGCGGTTGTCACTTCCCGGCTGCCCACACCGTGGAAGGTTGTTTCTTGAGGAACCTGAAAAGGAAGATAGATTAGTGTTGGTGCGTGACCGCAGAGCCCAAGGGACAACTGCTTGAGACCAGTCACGCACGTCCTTTTATGAAGGGTTTTTTGAGTATTAGCTCCGCTCTTGAAAGTACTTAGTGGGCACCCTTACCCGCCGGAGACGGAAATCCGTGAGGTAGGATGAGGTGTGACATTTTTAGGGTCGACCTTTTCTAACCCTTCCTTCCTTGTGAGAAGACAGCATCGCTGTAGATGCTGGTTGTCCGATTGGAAACACCTTCCTGCTGTCACACCTCTCTACAATCAGCAGTACGACTTGACCCTCAAACCTTGAGTAGCTGCTTTTAGTCTCATCGTTCTCCAATCGACCAGTCTGGCATGGTAGAACCTTCAGGAACATATGTTCCAGCCAATTTAGCTCGGTTTGGGTCATCACGATAGGCAAGCTCGACCACCATGTCAAGGTAGGTAGCAGCTACGGTTGGGAATGCATATCAGTAAATGAGTATTTATGTATATTATTCGATAACCATATAGATTTTCCTCTTCATTGTTACTTTCTTATTGTGAAGTCGTCAATTTAGGAGATTATAGCACTTATCGCATTCAGACAGTACATACAGTCCATCATAACAGAGATTATCAGTGCTTGTTGTATGTATTATGATTATAAAATTACATTGTTTGTTGTAATTTTAGCGCCAATTAATTGTTTATTTATTTGTTTTATTCTTTATTTATTTATTTTTTTGTTTTTTTATTTTTTCGATTCTCAACATATTATCAGTGTTAGTTATTATCGACGTCTTAAACGAAATTTGCACACCATCTGTCCTGATTCATTACATTATTGTGATAAATCGGAACAATGCTGTCTTTCGAATAAATTCGGTTATACATGTACATCAAATAAGGTATGTGTGTGTGTATGTTATAATTTATGTAATTTTTATTGGTCGTTTTCCATGAGCAGTAGGCTTTGATTATGACCAATTTTGGTCTTGTGTGCTTTTATAGCTATGAGGATGGATGTTACTTCCTGGCTGCCCATACTGTGGAAGGGTTTTGATTGTCAGAAGGGGGCATCGGCCTCATGACTTCCGAATGAATTAGGCTTTCATCATGAGATGTCATAATTCATCTGCATGAAGACCTTCTAATTCCCAGAGCAGAATGTGTATGGTTTGAATAATTTTTTTGTTGTTAGCGTTTTTTTTTGGCAAGTTAGTTTTCATCCAGCATAGGGCCGCCAACCCCAATCTCTTAACCCTCCTCCTTGAGACCGGCAGTAGGCCTCGAAGAGTCTATAGGCGGAGTTATTGAGCAGTAGACTTATTCAACGAACAATGGTGTAACTGTCGGGGTTCATTTATGAATTGTTATGATAGATGTGTATATTCCTAATATTCTGAACTGTTTGAGTGTTAACCCATCGACTACTGTCGTTGTATGATGTGATTTATTATGGTCAAGTATGTTTGTATGTAAACCATGTATTTTTTTTAAAACAAAATATATACAATTCAATTTGATTCATTAGTACAGGCTGGTTATTTTATTTCTCAACTTAACAAGCTGAGCTGGGATAGAATTCCAAACCAGTAAGGAACTTAGTTGTTGATGAGAGATTATAGCAGAGGAATAATTGTATTCTAATTGATTGGATTGATTGGTTCGATCAATTAGTTTTCAATTTCATGTCAAGAGTGATTTGGAATATGCCCAGATCGATCTAACATACATACATACACATGTAACTGTTTTTGTTATCAGTTCAACAACAGCATAGATGACCACACACAAGATAAACTCCAGGAGATAGTCAAAGATTATTGATTACTTGTTGTTATACTGTTAGAGAATTTATGTTTCTCATTAATTCAATATGATGATTGGCTTTTGCCAACCTGAGTCACTTATGTCGCAGGTGAGATATCCGTTTGCTGACCAAAAGACGAGTGTACTGCGCAGCAGTTCGCTCTGCCCTACTATACGGATCAGAAACATGGCCGCTAAGTGTAAAAGATGTTCGTAGGTTACTAGTATTCGATCATATGTGTATCCGAAGCATTGCTCGTGTATCCTGGGACGAGTGGGTAAGCGATGCCATCGTTTGGAAACGGGTGCTAGGTAAGAATGGCAGATCAATAGATGAAGTAATGAAACTTCACCAGTTGGGGTGGTTGGGACAGGTGTTACGTATGTCTAACTACCGACTGCCGCGACGAGCTATGTTTTGTGGTGTAGGAGTAGGTTGGAAGAAAGTTAGGGGTGGCTAGACCAAAACATGGCAGAAATCCATGAAGTCATTGACAAGTGGACTGAGCCATGTCGGTAGTTGTCGACTACCTGTTTGGGGTCCGCGAGACGATCATAATCGATGGTTTGAGACCTTAAACGATATGGCTCGGAATCGTTTGGAATGGCGCAGGTGCATCCACTCTTTGCTGCTAATAATTCTACTACCGCTATCACCTTTGGATTTGAACTGACAGTTACGTCTCTGTGCTGATGTGGTATGGCAACCTGAACTGATGTACTTATGTACGAAGTTCTGCGTTCTATCTGTCTGTCTGTCTATCATTAATTCAATATTATGAATAGTAATAATAATAGTAATATTCCAATAACAAGGTTGGATGGAAGACAGACAAGTCCAAAAGAAAAAGACGTTAGTATATTCATAATGTTATTACATGGGAAGATTCTAGAATGTTCTCTCAGTATCGGCTAGCGCTGATTAGATTCGGAAAGAGCCAATCAGAGTGCAGCAACGCAATCATGCTCTAATTCAATGTACTTACGTACGTGCGGAGTTCTACGTTGCATCTGACTGACTGAATAATAATAAACAACACCTATAAGCGAACAATATTGTTTTCGATTAGATCGTCATCAGGTTTTACAATATTGTTCGCTCATATGTGTTGTTCTAATTTTCACCATGGGAATCTTTAATATTCTTAAATAATAATAGGCTGTGCGAGAAGTGAGTCATTATTATATTTCTAGCTGTTAGTGGGACGTAGATTGGATTAAAGCATGATTGCGTTGCTGCACTCTGATTGGCTCTTTCCGTATCCAATCAGCGCTAGCCGATACTGAGAGAACATTCTAGAATTTTCTCATGTAAGAAAACTAGAAATATACTGACGTCTTTTTCTTTTGGACTTGTCTGTCTTCCATCCAACCTTGTTATTGGAATATAATCTCTATTTTCCTGTTCAACCGTGTTCTGAGTTTTGAGGTGAACGTCTCGAGTGAATTGGTGTCCAAGAATACTAAGTATATTGGGAAATAGCTAAGTTGTAATAATAAGAGAGAATTATAACATTAGCATTTAGCAATTGTGTAAGGGGTGTAGTCGCCGCTGTACTAGAATGATAACTTAGCCCCTGTTGGATCTTCGGTTCTAAGCGTATATCAACACAACAATTATGATACCTCTAAATAACAGTTTATTCAATGAACCAAATTATAAATTAAGATAAATTGTCAAGGATTTGAACGTGATTAACACCATCTACTCTACTGAATAAAAATAGATGATCTCAGTGCAATTTAATTAACTTTTGACATTATTGTGTTAATTGTGATGTGTTTAGACAATGCATGAACTTTTTATATAATATTAATTGTGAACTTGTACGTTTAGAATCATATCATACCATGGATTACATATATAGATGTTAACTGAATAATTCATAATTTGACATTCTACATAGATCCATAGTTTTAAAGTGTATTGAATGTGTGTGTGTGTGTGCGCGCTTGTTCATACGTTTTTCGTGTATTTAGGGTTGTTTGTGATTGTGCATAGTTGTGTTTATTATGTAGAAGAGAAGTATAGTGGAATCACATTGTTAGATTTCTATTTTTACTTGATCACTTCTAAGTAAAAGCAATTTATGTCAATCATGCCACAATATAACTAACTCAAAGTGTATAATTAATTAATTAATTATGGAAGAAAAGAGAGAATATTTTATATTTCAATGAAAGTATTCTTCATCAATTAAGAGTTATGAAGATTAGTGTTTTTACACATTTGAAATCATCAACTAATCAATATCCCTAGATAAATCAGAGTTAGACATTAACACCGTTGGATGCCGGCCTAGAGGTCCAAAGGATCGACATTCGCTCACAATACCGATGGATGGTCCAGGGTTCAAATACTACCAGGTGCAGGAGTCGTGGATGCTCCCTGCTGGTGAGCCTCACACCATAAGGAGGACGAAAAGGCCATCCAGTGCTCCCAGGTTTCTAATGTTGGTGGTCTAACAATAATTGATTGATTGATTGATAATTTCAATGTGCAGCAGTTCGCTCTGTCCTACTTTATGGATGCGAAACATGGCCGGTAAGAGTTGAGGATATTCGTAGGTTACTCGTTTTCCATTATAGATGTTTTTGAAGCACTGCTCGTGTATCATGGGACAATCTGTTTTAGTTATAGTTAGGAAACGACAACTGAGTAAGGATAGCAGATCAACTGATGAAGTTTCACTATTTCATCAGTTGAAGTGTTTGGAACATGTGTTATATATGTAGTGTAATAGTAGGCTGGAAGAAAGTTACGGGTGGCCAAACCAAAAAGTGGCACAAACCCATTGAAGTCACTGACAACTGAACTGTGCTATGTTAGCAAGTATAGACTACCTAATTGAGGTCTGAGAAACAATCATCATAGTAGTATGTGGATAGGGGTGTGTGGTAGTAGAATAAATGTACGAAGATCTACGTTGTAACTGGCTGACTGACTGACTGACTCTACGCTGTAGCTGACTAACTGTAATAGTATTCATTCACTAAGAAAAATAAATGCCATCATCAGACAGACAGACAGATACAACGGAGAACTTCGTACATAAGTACATCAGTTCAGGTTGCCATACCACATCAGCACAGAGACGTAACTGTCAGTTCAAATTCAAGAGTGATAGCGGTAGTAGAATTATTAGCAGTAATGGAGAAAATTAGCGAGCGAAGATATTATTTAAGATGCATAATTCAGTGAGATAGCTTTAGAAAAATAGAAGTGATGAGGAATTCAGAAGGTTAGAATTAAAAAGCATACAAAGAGTGGATGCACCTGCGCCATTGCAAACGATTCTGAGCCATGTCGTTCAAGGTCTCTAACCATTGGTGACTTTCTTCTCGCGGACCCCAACCAGGTAGCCTACATCTACCAACATGACTCAGTCCACTTGTCAATGACTTCATGCATCTCACTGAATTATCCTTCTTGAATAATATCTCCAAACCCTATTCTTCTTTATTACCATTAATACCTCTACTATCTTTATCAGTATGGGATTCGATTTGACACTTGCGTCTCCTTGCTAATGTGGTATGGCAACATGAACTTATGTACATACGTATGAAGTTCTACGTTGCAACTGACTGACTGACTTCATGCATTTGTGCCATATTTTGGTTTGGCCGCCCCTAACATTCTTCTAACCTACTCCTACACCACATACCTTAGCTCGTCGAGGCAGTCGGTGGTTAGGCATACGTAACACGTGTCCCAACCACCTCAAATGAAGAAGTTTCACTACTTCATCTATTGATCTACCATTCCTAACGACAGCATTGCTTATACAGTTGTCTTACGATACACGAGCAATGTTTCGAAAGCATCTATCATCGAAAATCAGTAACCTACGAATATCCTCAACTATTACCGGCCATCTTTCGTATCCATATAGGAGAACGGAGCGAACCCCCGTCGTTTGGTTAACAAGCGGATATCTCTATCATCACTATTTTTTTTAAATTTATTTCTATATATGCATTTTTTTTTTTAAATTTTCTTATATTTGCTGTACATTTTTTTGTTTTTTTTTGTGTTTTTTTTTTAATCATCAAGTCTACATGTTGTGCGGCCAATACAGATACTTATTGTCCAGCCTTAAAAGATTGTTCATCAGATGGAAAATACTGCATTGATCCTCATGATTGAGAGAGAGTACGTGTTGTGTTGTGTTGTGTTGTGTTGTTGATGCATCATCATCATGTGACAAGTTTTTTCTTCTTTTTTCCTATGATTGATTAATTGATTACACATCACTTTTGTGAACTAACTCATCACTACTACTACTGACACAGCGATCATGTTGATTTTTCTCTCTCTCTCTGTGTGTGTGTGTGTGTGTGTGTTTATTACAAGTAACTGCAACTTTTGCTATGTATGATGATTAAAATGAATTCGATTTGCTCTTTAACAACAAGCTTTTTTTTCTTTGATTTTTGATCCATGTTATTTGTGTGTGATTCAAATTTATTATTTTTTTTTCTACATCATACTAATTAATTATAGACTGACTGTGTTCATTATTTTTCTATTTGTCAAACTACTACACCTCTTTCACATGTCGTGTTGTTTTTTTTTTTCTAAAAAAAAAATAAAAAGAACTGATAAAAATTCCACTTTGTCTGTTATTTCGTTGTTCTTTCATACATTTGATTTGGGCTTGAATCACCCACCCCGTGTGTATGAGTGTGGTCGGAGAGTGATGGTGGAATGTGCACTGCCACTGGATGAGACGAGACCAGGACGAGATGCCTGCCTGTCGTTTCAGTGCTTCCAAGTTATGAAGATTGGTGTGTTTTCTTACTGGAATCAGTGACTGTGTTAGACCACATCATTAGAAGAGAAATCTGGAAGCACTGAAAGACGGCTGTTTAGTCCTGGTGTAGGACTGACTCATTAGCAGTACGCATCCACACGACCTTTGCTACCTGTATGAATTCAGTAATAAACAGCAATCTCAAAAACTCTACATATAATGTGCTCATTAGTATGACTAGTTTCGTGAAGAAATTCTTGGAGTTCTATTGAATGAGAAAAAGTAATCAGTGTAGTTCTTCAATTCCATCGGGTGTAGACAGTAACTACTTACGACAATGTGTAATAAGGTTGCACAAAATACCTAGATTGATCAGTGTTAGACATTAACACCGTTGAATGCCTGATCAGGGGTCCAGAGGTTATGCGTTCGAGCGGAAAAAGGAAGGTGGTGTAGAAAATTTGCTTCTATATGAAGTTTGTGCTGATGATATTGTTTAGATGAACAATGAAAGCTCCACAACCAAAACATCCAGCTCAGAGAACGAAGATCCTGAGTTAGAATCGTACGACCAGCGGAAGTGGTGGATGCGCACTGCTGATGAGTCTCATACCAGGAAGAAACGGCCGTCTTTCAGCGCTTCCAGATTTTTAATGGTGGCCTAACAATGAATCGTCCATGAATTCAGTATTATAAATGGGATAACATCTCTTCGCATTCTATACACAAATAGTTCAATAATAAAAAATGCTTTAAGATATATTAGACAACATGATTTTAAAGAAAAGAGATAACTGGAAAAACAACACAATTGTTAAAGGTTAAGGAAAGAGTAGTTTTGGAGCCAATCATTGGGAACCAGGAAGCAATAACCTATGATCTCAGTCATTTACCACGTAGAACTTCCTACGCACGTACATCAGTTCAAGTTGGAATACTGTATTAGCACAGAGACATGATTGTCAATTCAAATCCCATAGTGGTGGAGGTAGTAGAATTATTATCAGAAATGGGAGAGATTAGGATTCGAAGATTTTATTCAAGGAGTATGATTCAGGGAAATAGATTTGAGAATAGAGAGATGAAGAATGCAGAGGATTAGGATTTGAGAGAACACAAAGAATAGACGCACCAGAGCCATTTCAATCAGTTTCGAGCCATGTCATTCAAGGTCTCTAAACATCGACTATTATCTTCTCACGGACCCCAACCAAGTAGTGTACACTTATCAACATGGCTCAGTCCAGTTTTCAGTTACTTCATGGATTTGAGCAATGTTTTGGTTTGACCGACCCTACCTCTCTCCCAACCTACTCCTACATCACAAAGCATAGCTCGACGAGGAAGTTGGTGGTTGGACATTTGTAACACCTGTCCCAACCACCGCAACTGAAGAAGTTTCATCTGTTAATCTGCCGTCCTTACCTAGCACTCGTTTCCTAATAGCAGCATTGCTCACTCGGGTGTCCTAGGATATACGAGCGATGCTTCGAAGACATCTATAATCGAAAACTAGTAACCTACGATTATCTTCTACTCTGACTTTTCATGTTTCACAGTCATAAAATAGTACGGAGCGATCCTATGATATAAACTTTCAGCTAGATAGAATTACTTATCTGAATATTCCACGACTAGCCACAATCTATGTATACTATTGTTTTAAGTTCTGTTCACCAGTTTATACTTTCTTCAAAAAAAAATCAAATAACCTTTCATCGATTGTCATCTATGCTTAATCGTTAGCTGTTTACAACTGTTAATTTAATGAAAATGTCCAATTACACGATTGAGATACAAGGAAAATCGAATTTCCAAAACTTGTTTGTCTTAAGAACAGGTGATCATTAAAGATTATACATAAATTAGTTATGAATGCTAACTCATAAGATGTTTGAGGTTCTTAATGCGTCTGCACTGGGAAATTCTTCCTATTAACACTGAAATGAAAAGTAATTACAACATTCAGAGGTGTAAATGTTATCAATGTATGGTGTGTTAATGACAATTTATCAACAACCAAAATTGTGAACCCAGTTAGTCAGCAACAACGTAGAGCTTCATACGTAAGTCAGTTAATGTTGCCATACCATAATAGCACAGAGAGATGGAATTTTCAGATCAAATCCCTTAGTAGTCGAGGTAGCAGAAGTATTAGCAGTAATCGGAGAAGATTAGGCTTCGGAAATTTTATTCAAGAATTATAAGTCAGTGAAATAAATGTAAGAAGATAGAGGAATTGGGAGAACACAATGAATGGATTCACGATTTTAAGCCATGTCATTCAAATTCTCTAACCATCGTTTTTTATTATTTCACGGATTCCAAATAGATAGTCTACATCTACCAACATAGTTCAGTCCATTTGTCAATCACTTCAGTGCCATATTTTCATATGGCTATTCTTGGCTTTCTTCTAGCCTACACCACAAAACATCGCTCCTCGTGAAAATCGGTGGTTGGGCATATGTGACACATGTCTCGAAATTGAGAATTAAGCTCATACAAGTATTAAATTTGAGTAATGTCTTTACATAAATTTGAGTTCGCTTATATTTAATTTGGTTAAACCTTTCGATTAACTTATTTAACCAAGCCACTTGTACAGCAACAACTTATATGTACCATTGGTTTCTACTATTGTCTGGTATCGTATAAGGTGGTACGACTGACCATTGCTTACCGCCTACATACATATTCATCTTATTCGCTTTAATGTTAATCTCTTAAATATCTCGATCACTCAGACATTTTCCTTTGTATATATAGGAACATTTTAATCTTATTAATACATTCACCAATTCTCCAACTCGCTCACTAGTGCGCTTGCCCTGCTCTGTGTGTTTGTTGTCTGCTAGTCCATTTTGTGGTGTGCCAAAAATAAACACATTCAATACTTCATGTTTACCTTCTGATTTATAACCATCGGGTGTTTGCTACTTGGTGATGAGTGCCTAGACGAGCCGAATACGAAGACTAACAACACATTGAATATCAAATGTTACGAAACTAGTGATACCGTTGACCGCCACATTGTTACATTTATACAAAAACATAAAAAAATATATGAAAACTTTAAAATAACTGTTAAAATAGTTGAGAGCTAATAATTATGATAATTTACGGAAGGAAATTTTATTCTCATAAATACTTCACAATGTTTCTACAGCACAACAAACGAACACTACACCATTTGGTTTTTGTAATTATTCTATTCTAAAACGGGTTACTAAATATTAGCAAGTAGTATGAAACATTACATATAAAAATGTGAGTTGATGGGATCGAAGAATCGCGACAAATTTAATAACATTCATAAATTATTACTCAAAATAACATTCTTCTTGTCTGAATAATGATCCATTCAAAATTCCGAAATCATTTTCACCATTTGTGTTTATTATATTCAGCTTCAGTTACATATTGTAATCACTGGTATATTTCAATTGGACTTCATAGATTAGTAAGATTGTGTACAACAGTATACACAACTCTTACAGGAAAAGTATTCTGTCTTGAGTTCAAGATTAAATGTCTTTTGTGTTCAGAGATTTATCTTATTATTAGAAAAATGTTGACGAATCTTAAACGATATACAGATGGCCTTGTAACAATAGCTAAACATAGTATGTTCTCACGACATTTTATGGGTTTGTTCGTTAAGTGTAGTCAACTCTCGATGGGATGGTTGGATAGGTACACCTGTTATGTAACATTGAATCAAAACAGTGAACTTGTGTCAAATAGAACGTTATTTTATCTTTAGTTTTTCGACTCTAATATAGAACTATTTTAACAAAAAACTAGTAACATCAGTTGTGATAAAGTTTCGTTCTCTGAGCTGGATGCTTTGGTTGTGGAGCTTTCGTTATTTACTTCTAAACAACAACATCATCGGCACCAAATTCAGGTAGAAGTGAAGCATTCGGGTTTCTAGAAGGTATGACTCCTAGTATGTTCCGTTGATCTCGATCTTGATTGGTTGTTACAGATCTTTCCTTCATAAAAGACATTGGAAACTAGAGCACTATTGCTGAAACCATTTGAAATAAGTGTAGCACTCAAACCAATAGAATCACTTCAATCGATCCTATGTAGAGAAAAGGATAAAATGACGAAGGAAGAAAAACCAAATATCATCTACAAAATAAACTGTGAAGAACACTACATACGACAAAGTGGACATCCTCTTCAGCTTCGCTTGCTTGAATATCAATTAGTAGACAAAGGTAGTACAATGAACACTAGAGAACATTCAGAAGCTTGACACTAAATTAAATCGGTGATCAACAAACACATCGATTGACCCAATTTATCAACCAATCAATAAAATCATAGAAAAACAATATTGAGAAACAAATCAAAGGAGGATGCAATCAAAATAAAGGTGTAC